ACAAAGCTGTATTTACTAATACACACTCTGAATTTAGGTCATTAAATGTTAATTAAATCACAATGGCAAAAATGTGTCCCCTCTCCACCAACAGCAGATCAGAAATTCACAAAAATCTAGCAAATATCATAAGCACCTATTCATAACCTTAAGTTACTCTTAACATTCAAGTCTACAAACCCTGTATTATAAAATGCTAGGACTGATACATGATGCAGCACAGCCCTGGTTAGCTCGCACAAGCCACTGAACACAACATTGCCAAGCTCTGCTCTCTGCAACTAACTCCGTAACTCTTTGAAGTCTCTGCCATGACATGGAAAGCTTCCCATGAGATCAACCTTAAATGACTGAAAGATTGCCTCTCTTTCTAAAAAGCTATACTCTAGAACAGAAATAACCCACTTTGCATAATGAAGATAATCAGGTGGCAAGAATATGGCAAAGTTCAACTGCTGGCAAAGCCAAAAGCACAAGAGGAGTGGCTACATCCCAGACCCCATGCATGGTTACAGTAGTCTGTTGACGGATTAACTCACAGTCTGAAATGTTCACTGGGAAAGACTGTCAGCAGGCTTATATTCACTACACAGGTATCCCTACTCTCATCAGAAAATGTTTAAGGGCCTGGAAATCAAAGGCAGATTGGAAAACACTGCACTAAGAGAAAGCAGAGGGCTGAGTTCTCTTCAGAGCTTCCATCAGATCAGCCACGTAGCTAAATTCACAACCTACTGGCCTAACTACAAGATGAAAAGGTCAATGCCAGAACATCTGTTACTATCCAAAGCAACATGACATTGGGACCATTGCAGCCTTCAACGTCCAAGGTCACGATCCTTCCTAAGCACAAATACTTATCTTAACAATAAAGTATATCAAAACAAAACAAAGCTGGCATTGCAGTCCAGTGAGACATGCCCACACTAGCTTAATCTAACTGCACATAGTACTAACTATTTTTACAGGAACAGCTATCAATCAGGGTTGATATCAATCAGCTAATCAACTCAGGAGATCTGCGTCCTGCCTCTAGCATTACCCTTTTTACCATTCAATCCTATCTTAACATATCCCTTTACCATTTCCTCACTGTACAACAGTATTTTAGCTCTTATTCCTCAATTGCTTTGACTTCTCAGCAGCATCTTCTAAGGTTCTCTGTAAAAAGACTGCCTGATTCTGCAGTTAAATTCAGAAATTAGGCAGTAAGCTTCCGATGTATCAGAATTATTTAGGTGTTTCAGCTCTATTTGCAGGAAGACTTTTCAGCCATTTTTCTGCATCTGAGATGACAACAGTCCATTTCAGTAAGCCTGTACACTACCATCAGGGCAGTTGAACTGCTTTATTTTAAAACTGCTCCAGAACTATTAGACTTCTATTGTCCAGTCCATGTGACCTTGTATATCTAAATCTACCTGTTCAGGCACCTCCTGTTTCTGATGCCTGAATTGCTGACAATACTTAGTCTTCCCTAGCTTGTATTTCTCACCAGTGAGCACAGCCCCATGGTCTGGCAACTGAAGCCATAGAACTGACATTCAATATGGCAACTGAGCATTAGGGCTCCAAATCAACAACCCTGCACAGGATTCTCTGAAGCCACATGGCACAAAGTGCTGATCTCTCATACAGCAGATTTTTGTTTACATTTATTTAAAAATGGATAATGAATCATCGCCATACTCAAAGGGTCACAGTCAAACCAAACCTAACTTGTGCTCCACACGGACTTGGCAACATTCAGGCCCAGTACTGAAGTTCATGAGGCCAGCTACTAGGCTTTCTCTCCCTGTACTGATAGTAGAACACCTACCTTTACGCCATCCCTATATTCTCTCATTGCTCTTTACACTCCTTTCTTTTATACTAAGTGCATGAGCAGACCTCAGGTTCCCTTTTCACCCTCTTATCAAAGTTTAACATCACAGTTTCTTCATTTTCTTCTACTATTTTTTTCTTTTATTTTACATAATTGCTCCTTAGATATTTCACTATAATATGCTCACGTGCTACCTAGTCACTCAACAATTACCTTGTTTGATAAGGCAATCATACAAGGGATTTAGGAAACACCTATTTAGATCTTAAATCATTCCATCATACAGCAATTCCATATTGTTCTATTGCTTCCTCTAACACTGTGCATTTGGGCCTTTCACAATGAAGACATCGTCATCACACAAGTATATCAGAAACATCACTAACGTAAAAGCAATGAACAGCTACAGAAAGACATATTCTGCCATAATCTCTGTAAGAAAGCCTCAAATGCAAAGATCCTTCTAAATGCTACCTCTGTGATACACCAAAATTGAAAGCATACATCCCCACTCATAAGGATCCACTTCCTACGCAGCTGTAGAAAGCAGATGCAGCCATGAATGAATTCCACTACAGGCCATTAAGTGACAGGTTTGTTACAAAGGTTTTGCAAAACTGGCTTTGCAAAAGTAAGGTTCTAAAAAGGCTTCTGTTAAACTGACAGTGTTTGACTAGCATGAAAATGATAATCACTGTCTCACTTCAGCAAGTAACAAGCTAACCAGATGATTCACACTGGAATTACGTGCACTGTAAGTAACAAAGTTTCTTCACAAGCTGTAATCAGAAAGCCTGTAAATATAATTTTTTCTTTATTGAAACTAGTTCAGTATTTGACAGCAGAATCTGACTGAGCATCTTCGTTCAAAATACCAAGAAAACAGATGCATAATACTCTGTGTGGTCAGAATCTAAAGCGAGAAAGCAGAGGAAGATTATTTATTTCCTAAAAAAGAATGGATGATATTTGCTAAGGAAACTCTTGTTCGGTCTCCTCTTTGACATCACTGATGGGTTGCAAAATACAAAATTACTGACAGCAACAGAAAGAGCGCTACAGGCCAACAAGCCAGACGAGCACCATACTGGTCACCTGGCTGGTATTCCTTGCAAGTCTCACATGGAAGAACTTCAGGCTGTTTGAAGTAGTTAATTTTCACCTGTGGGAACATAAATAATTTTAGCCAATCTGTTCTCTCTCAACAAGTTAGCAGAGACCAAACAGGATCTATACTGATTTTCCCAGAGCATTTTAGTTCTACCTTTGAAGAAATCCAACATAACTGCTTACCTAATAAATGAGACAATGGGTAATGCACAGGTAAGATGCCATCATTCATATTTATTGACACCTGAGGAATGCACTACTAATATAAGCCAACACTCGAAGACAAGCCTGAAAACAACCCAGATTTTCTGCATTACGGCTGTTCAGGAATTTTTGCTCCTAGCTAGGTTTTTTAGCTATCAGGGCCAGGTATTCTTTTCTGAAGGGTTCTGAACAAATTAAGATAGTTTTCCCATGTTTCCTATACCTGGAGTTAATACAAATAATATGCCATCAGAACACTTAATTAGGAGAACATATGAAGAAAAAAATTTTTCATTTACACCCTCAATGCTTTGGGATCACCAAACATTAAAAGGCTCAAGAACTTGTTTATTTATTAAGTCTTTAAAGATAGTGCTGGCACAGCTAGAGAAAATAAGACCTTTCCTAAGCAGAAGACTCAACACAGATGAAGAATGAGCAGGATGTACCGTTCATAATTAAAAGAAACACTGAAAAAGCAGTTACAACTCAGTCAACGGTCCTTGAGATATAATTACTTGTAAAGACACCAAAAAAAAAGAAGTGCAGAGCATCTAGAGGTCAACAACTGAATTTTTTCTGTTTCTACATAAACGTCAAAAAATTAATGTGTCAAGTAAAATGACAGGATATAGACCTAGCAAATAAATAAGAGAAACAGAAAACATTGAGAAAGATGTTATTTTACTTCAAGACTGAAGTTCAAGCTCCTGTTCTGATGTACTCAGCAGCTCTCAGAACACAAAGGGCACTGAGGCAGATAGCTTTTGACACAGCTTTCCCAGCTAAAACACAGAAACCTACGCTTAACATTCACTTGCTCATACACTAAGGTGTGCAAACCCAAGAACTCCCAAACAGACCTGCACTGTTGTAACTGAAATTGAAACTTAAGTTTCTAACACTGATGGCCAGTAAGTTGAAATACCGAATGCTTTGCCTCATTTTGAGCTAGGCACATTCACACACAGACGATGCCCTTTTCTCCGTAACACTGTCACTGGTTTTGAGAAAACGGTGACTTCTGCATTCAGATACAGGTATGGTTTCGGAATGCCACAGGATTTCAGTTTAGCTGTGGGACCTGCCCCATGCCAAGCATCTTCATCCTGACTTCAACGAAATAGGGAGTGGAGGAAGTAGGCCAACAGATTCCTCTTCTACACAGGGCGCGCCTAATGGGCTTGGTAAAAAAAAAGAGTCGTATTATCTCATCTGACAGCTTTTACTCCACTTTCACCTTCGCGGGCCCCAGTACAGCGGCCAGACAAGCCGTGAGGAAAAGACGCCCCGCTCTCAAGAGACAAACGACCCGAAGGAAGCAGCGGGCCGGCGGGAGGAGGCCAGGCGACAGGCAGGGCTGAGGGCGAGGGCCCGGGGGGTCCCGCCAATTCCGGTCAGGATCCCGCAGCAGGGGGGCAGAGGGGGGCATCGCCCTCACGGCCGCCCACACTCACCCTTGTCGAGGGGCCGCGTGAGCTCGGCGCCCACGTCTTCGTCCGCCGCGTCGCCGTCGAGCTTCAGCGGCACGGGCACGAAAAGGGAGGTGTCGGGGGCCCGGGAGCTGCCGTCCCCGCCGGCCGAGGAGGAGGAGAAGGCGGCGGCGGCAGGGCGCAGGCGGGCGGCGGCGGCCCCGCCATGGCGGAGGACGAGCCCCGCGCGCGCCGGGAGCCGCAGCAGCGGCCACGCGCAGCGCCTCATCGGCAGCCAAGGGCAGGGGCGGCGGCGCGTGGATCGCGCGTCATTGCGCCGCGACCGCCCCCGCCCCCTCCTTCCCGCCACCGCCGCCGCGCATGCGCGGGGCCGCCCTCCCGCCCCGGCTACGGCGCAGAGCGGGTGAGCAACAAAGACGAGCCAGATGTTAGTGAGAATACAGCTGTTTTAATAAATCAAATAGCAGCTCAGTATGTTTCCCGTTTATTACACATGGTTGCACAATCTGAGGCTAGTTAAATACAATCAAGTTTTCAAAATCTCTGGGAATCAGTTCCAGATTACAACATGCAAGTGACCACGAAAATATTTGGCTTTTCGATTTATTCTTTACATTTCTGAACAGGCACTTACATAAGGGAGTTAAATTTGCTCTCAGTCAAAGATATCCCATGTTAGAAGTATCCTAGCATAAAGTACACAGAGTCTTTGTCTGCTTTATCAAAGTGCCACAGTAATAAAACAGTTCTTACAGAAAGGTAATTCAATTATTTACTTACTCATAAAGTAAGGTTACCAATGACACTTGCACCGGAGTTGAGAAGTCTTGGTTTAAAGGCCAAGTGAACCACAAGCGCAAGCAGCCTTCCACACAGCAGGCTTCATTTTATGCCCGAGCCCCACCTCTGATACCAGCCTACCTGCTCCGTTGTGAGTAGATGAAGGCTAACTCCTTTAATCTATTTCTTCAAACACTAAGTGCGTACGAGATGATTAAGACAAATGATCTGCTGCGCCAGACAAGCTTTTCCCAGTTTAAGTTTTGCCTGGCTTCAAGATACCTTTCCAGAAGACCACAAAAAGCTCATTCGCCCCCATACCAGGCCCAGGTGGACCGGGAGGAGGGTGTCCTTGGAGGACCCTTTGCCTCTCCTGTCAGGACAATGATGAGACAGACTGTGAAGACAGTGGAAGCACAAAGCCAGGAGGAACCACACAGTTTCATGTATTTACAAAATAATCAATGTTACCAGCATTTATTTAATCGATAAGAGATAATTACGTTTAAATACTTTACCCACTCACCACCTGAAGGTGAAATCATGACAACATCTCTACAGTCACTAGTTACTGGGCAGCGACCCCCCAAACATCAGGAGTGACTCACATGACAAGCTTAGAGAAGTATGGCAGGGAGGGAACTGGGCAAGGGAGGGCAACTATGCTTCCTAACATTCTTTTCTACTGACGGATTCAAAGCTTCTTAGAAACCTCGGGAAGGTGTCTGAAGGCTCCACAGTTATCATAGTCATAGTGCATATACATGCAGTTTCAGTTAAACCCTGTCTAACATAGTAATTAGAAGTCTTAGGACAAATTCACCATGAACTTCGATTTTTAGTGTGATTTAGTCAATTGTGTCTTACTGTAGTTTCAAAATAAAACAAATGCAAATAAGCAACATTGGAAAAAAACATGCAATAAACAACATGAGAGAAGGGAAATGCTTTAGTCTACACTGTATAGGTGGTCAGCAAAAATCAAATATACCAGTCTACCATGCATGGAAATAACTAGATTTAAGCTTATGCATATCCAAGTGCATATAACATTATCAAATAAAAGTAAATGTGCAGTATAAAATAGTAGCTTAAGAAAGTTCCAGTGTTTGAGAAAGCACTTTATTTTAAATGTATATACATACTTGAATGTTTAACTGAAGAATGCTTTAGTAGTATGGTAAATGCAGCACTGCAAGATGAAGGAAGACAGTTGTAATGGGAATTTTGGCCTTCTTTTCCCACAGGCTGCTGCCATCTTTAACCTGCTGAAGCATCGCAAAGTTTTTCACCTTATACCAGTTCACATTTCAGGTTGCTCAGCAGACGCTTGTGATTCCGGAGATTCAAATCGCTGGTGAAAGTTTGTTCGTTGTTTCCTCAGCTTCTCAGGAGCTTTTCTCCATAAAATTATTTCCTATTTGAGGAAACAAACAACTTTGAAACCACCATTTACCATTAACCCAGCGGTGTCAACTACCTTAAATTCCTGCAGGCAAAGACTTTGGGGAAAAAAAAAAAAAAAAAAAGAAGACAAAACACCTCCCCACACACCACAAAAAACTCCGCATCCCTTTTATTTACAGAACAGTACAGTACGTAGGGAAAGCAAGAGATGACACAATTAAGTTTACATATCAAGTTACTGCCTGAACACTTACTTTCATCAGTCTTGAGGAGTCACCTCTTCCTTAACAATCCTGTTCCCGACTTTGATACTATTAAAGGGTTCAAGAAGTTTTTCTTCCTCCTCCTTTCAAAATCCAAAGCCCATCATAGTCACTGTATGCTCCAATTACCTTTTGTTTTCCATGTTTAATTATACTGCCTTGTCTATTCTTTAAAAGAAAGATTCTGATCTAATCCACATGACTCCATTTCAGTGATGCTTTTTGCTATTCCTTTCCTCAGCATGACCTCAACTTTTGCTACATTTCCAGTCAAATGTCTTAGCCATTATAACAGTTTTGCAATTTTGAACCCCAGCTAATGCTGGGGCAGGGGAGATCCATCTGCAGCAATTTAAGCAAGCGAACAAATGCACCTGTAGCTTATTTTACCCACAAAGTGTTTTGTCTGGATATTCACAATGCAAGGTAGTTCTGTGGCACTGAGCATCCTACCCTTGCTGGAAGAGTATCCATCATCCCCCCTGGCTCCTTGCAAGGTAACATTTTCTATACAGCTTCTAATACATTTGCCCACAGAAATGCTTATGCCATACATGAAGCATGTGCTGAACATTTAAAGCAGCATGTACAACAGCCCAGATAATTCTGCAACAAGACTGTTATAGACCATACCTGCTGTTTGAAGTATCGTCTGTCTTCTTCATCCACAAGCACTAGATTTAAGAAGTACCTCACTGAAAATTTTTTATTCACATCCCTCATTGTTGGAGTTGGGTCATAGCCAGCTAAGAACAGTCTTATAGGAATCGATTCACCTTAAAAAGGAAGTTTCAATTAGTTCCTTAAAATTTTATGTCATTAATGTAGTTTCAGAAGACATGCAAAATAAAGGCAGTTTCCCAAGCACTGTCTGTGCCCCTTCCTTAGTTAAAATAAAAAAAAAATAAAAAAAAAAAAACAGCACACACAACAAACATCAAAAAATATCACAAGCGTAACACTGAACACAGAGGCAAGTGTGCAATCAAAAGCCAGAACACCTTCCCAGTGGAAGCATGGTAGCCAAGCGAGACAAAAGGATCAGCATCTTCAACCCTCTACAGCTGGTCTACACCACGGAGTCAGGCTTGAACCAAAGTGATAAAAGGATCAGTCACAGATTTTCAGTGGTAGATAAGGGTCAGAATTACTAAGACCCCATGTAAATTGCCCTAAGTCAATAAAAATGTCTGCTTTGAATAGGAAAATCCACTACCATTTCAGCAACCTAAGGAGGAGTTTGGTTTCTCAAGAAAAATTCATACAAGTCATCTCTTCTCCTCCAGGCTTTTTTAAAATACAGTTTTCACTCAAAACGATCACCCTTTAAAACCATCACAGTTATTTACCTTTAACTGGAGCACCATCCATTATTTCATACTTTGCAATGGTTTCAGTCTCTGTTGTCGTACTGGGTCCTGGTGAAACAAGTTTTCACTGTGAGAACACGTGCTTCAGTTTTAAGCATTTACAAAGCTTTATCACAGCTATTTCTATTCTGCTGCATTTAATTTACACAACATTGCATTTCTTGCCTTTGTCTTCCATATAAGTTACACACAGCTAAAGCAAGCAAAACCCTTTCCCAGGCAGAGCATCTATTTCTTACTCTCTCCTCCCCGTGCTGACACAGAAGAGGCAGTAGCCAGTGCTTCAAAGGAGCCCTGGGTATGCAGGCTTTAAATAAGGGACAAGCACGTAGGGTAGGACTTGTGAAACAGTTCTGTTTGGTGGGCAGTGCTAGCGACTGATACTGCTAGGCCATGATCAGACTAGAAACCTGAAGGGTTATCACCCAGCATAAGAGCCACCTTTCTCCAGAGCCTAGGATGAAGAAACCAGAGTAGCTAGTTTAGCCACAAAAGCCAACAATAAAGTAGAGCTTTCTGCCCTTCCTCTATTGCTATGGAAGCTTTCTCATTCTCCACACAAGCAGCTCACTAGGGCCCCAGCCACTGGGGAATGAAGTCATGAGCCACAGCCTCTTACTGACTTCCTAGTCCCAGGCTGTACAAGCCTGATCTGCCATAATCAAGGTACTTCTGCTTTAAAGCTTCTTGATATTTCCATCATATCAGTTTTAGGATGACTGAAAATGACACATTCCTAGAACATGAGAGGTTCGTGCTAATCTTTACTAAGGTCACTTTACCAGCTAATCTCTGCAGAGGCAAGGGAGTCTTCAGGAAGCATTTTACACCTTTTCCCTTGTTCATTAACCATCAAGGCTGATTAAGCTGCTGCGTATTTATGCCCAAGCTCCATTTACAAGGGTTCACGTTTGTGAAGCTAGTCCAAGAGGCACAATCCCAGAATGGTGCTACAGACTGACAGTGTTGACTACTAAGTATGGTTACCAAAGCACAAAACGCAAATGATAGTTAGTCAAACACCTGTGAGAAAGAAGCACACTGAGCATTGCTTTTGCCAAAGCTGCAACTAGTGACTTCAGTCTCCAGGTGTGCCTAAGGCTCAAACAGCACACAAGTTGCCATTTCTTTTGGATTTTGCTTCTCTTACCAATTCCAGTGATCTCCTTTTTGATCAGCTGCAACTCCATGTGCTGAATTTTTATTCTCACTAAGAGGAAATAAATTTTTCCAACAATCACATCCTTTAAGTGATACCTTTAAAAGAACAGAATGGGGGTTTTCATTAAAGAATAAACACAATTTTTACACCTTCTTGAATGCAAGTGATACAGGCAGTTACCTTATCTGTCTGTTAACCACTTAAGAGCCCCCTTCCCCTCTGAGCTAAGCATCTCAGCCAGACCAGTGCCATTAGCACCTTTCCTTCACTGCAGTATTAGTAAAGGAAGTATTATAGTCGTATCAAAAAAGCATAAATGCAGAAATCAAGTCTTAAATATTTGCTAGTGACCTTTCTATTAGTATGAAAGCAGAACAGACAAGTATTTCTCAAAAAAGACCATTGTGTAATTAGTAACCGAACAGCTCAACACAATAATCATTGTAAGTGTTGCTTTACATTCTATGTCCCCAGATGCTGAAGTCGTTCAACAAATATTACACACTGTACCCTTCTACCCTGAGATATTTACTTGAACGTGTTTTGTTCTAAGTGACACTTACTTTGACTTATTGTATTCAAACTCTATATGAAGACAGTCTTCAATTCCTACTTCCATTTTAATGGAGTTGTTTACATCCGGGTATGTAGCAAGTTGGTGAACAATCAGATCATATTCTTTCACCAAGTCTGACAGCCGTCTCACTATTGTCACTTTTAGAAAATACCTAGGAAGAAAGCCACCAAGTTAGCCATAATTATTCAGAATTGCATAAGTAAAAGCCCCTATTTTCTGAAGTACAGGTATTCTTTGGAAGATGAGTACATTCTCGTAAGACTAAGCAGAAAAATAGTAAGACACAAAAAATACAAGACAAAACACTTATAGGTAGAAATGTGGGGGCGTTTTGTTTGGTTGTGGTTTGTTGTTTTTTTTGAAAGGAGATATGGACTGTCTTCACTTAATTGAACAGAAAGAATTCTATCTATGCAGACAACACTAAGCAATTCCAAATAAAGTAGAAAAGGCTACATTATAACACTCTCAACAACTCTAGTCAAGCTACACTACCTACTGGCTGTTACATGTCTGATTTGAAATACAGAAGGAAGAAGGAAGTGGGGAGAGGACCGCATAATTGGTTAATTATGATTTTTCTGCAGGGGAGGAGAAGAGAAAAGGCTTAACAGTTACAAACCTCAGTCTGACGTTGGCACCAATGTAGGATTCGTATGGCTTTTCAACCTGCATGAATTCAAAGTCATAGCTCCTGTGTTGGGTCAGTTCTCCAGGTAAGGCCAGTTCTTTCACTAAGTTTACAAATTCATGGGTATTGCTTTTGTCATTGAACAGTTCTAAAGTTGAGGAAGTTAAAGGAAAACATGTTTCAGTGTTTATTTTTAGCAAACAAAACTGTCTCTATTTTGGCAGAAGCAAGTGGGAGAGGACATCAGAAGCAATTAATTTTAAGTTACACATATCTGAATAAAGGTTTTATCCATTTTTTCAGTTATCTTCAGTTTCAGCAACCTACAGTAAGCATTCCTAAACAGCTAACTGCAATGAATAGAACACATATTTGAAGCTTCACTAGCACAGCATCTGTTTTTTAATGACATTTTAGCTAGCTTTAATAAGTATATCTTGCCTTGCATTCTCTGTAATTACCACTGCCCAGTTTTGGCTTCCAGTGTTTATTGTTGAAGGGACAAAACCTAGGCAACATCAAGACTGGCTCATTTAAGAGCCAGTGATCCCAACTGGCCTCTCACTGATTAACACCACCTACCAAATGGTTTATTATTACTACTGGTCTACAATGAAACGGCTTAGTATGACCACAGATCTAAATCACTCGTTTCGACACAAGTTCTTAATACATAAGCAAAGATACACCAGTTTCACAGCAACAGCATCTCCTGTCCCCAGGCCAGTGTTGTGGCTATTCACCCCTAAAACTATGTCATGCAGTTGTCACTAAGGTAAAAACTTAGAAAGTTACGAAAAATTAACATCACCATCAAAAATCCAAACACTTTAGTATATAAAAACAAGCTGCTCTACAATTCACAACTAAAAATATCAGCTAAGAGCATCAGCAGTAATTGGTTTTACACAGACTGAAGCTTTTCAGAAGAGAATAAATGAACTAACCACACCAACACCACAACTGATCACTGCTAATTTGGTAAAAACTGACACTACCTAGTAACTGCTTATTTTCTAATATGACCACAAATTACAAAAGGTGTACTTTGTTTGTTATGACAAGCATTTATATAATACAAAGTTTATTTACTGTTGCATATCCAATACTTTTCGTGCCAGTCAGAAAAGTTGCACTCTGAAGAGTTGCTTTAAAGTAAACCTTTGACATGCAGCTGGAGCTAGTCTCCAAGGAGTCCAGAAACGGATCACACTGCTGGGATGCCCTCCATATTACTATATTAAAACTTGAAAGGATGCAAGAAAACATGGACAAGTACAAAAAGCAGTAGCTGAAACCACTTCTGCATAACTCAGAATTTCTAAACAGTAGCACAATGGGAAGTCTCAGAAACACACAAAATTCAAGAAACACTACCTCAAATTAAAGTCATTTAGAGAACAAAATCAGAGAAGACGAACAGCCTATACAGCTATTAGAAGACAGACTAAATAAAGCTGATATACGTGAACTCTATTTTTTCCCTGCCCCTAAATGCCTCATTCCCATATTCTGAAAGTTTGCTTTGACAGCCCCAATGATCAAATCCTCAAAGCAGCAGGTGTCAGAACTCAGTCATACCTGCTACACAACAGTTCAGAATTTGTGAAATCAAATCAAAGTCAGTTGTATGAGGCTACAACTTGAAGAATTACTTTCAAGGGGGACAATAATGCAAATGGCCCTTTAGCAGAGAGGGAAGGAATTTTAGCATTAGTCGAAGGGTGCAGAGAGATTACCTTGACTGGTAAGAAGTTAGACGTGATCAAGATTCTTCATAGTTCAAATCTAACCAGATTTGGATACAATTATAAGAAAATTACATTTTTAATGTCAATACCATATTATCTTTCTAAGAAGCACAGAGAACCTCCGAAGCATCAATACTGGTTTACGTTAACAGTATAAAACAGTATAGGTTTTAGAAAACCAACCACCAAAGAATTTTTAAAAGTATTTTGCTATAGGCTGCCTCATCATTTTTTTTCTATGCCTTTTCTCTGTCAGAGCCAGTATTAAAGACAAGTTTAGTTTTCAGAAATCTCTAGTGGTTCTTAATCAGACTTCTAACCAGCCTGAGACAGACAGAATACTCACCATCCCAGTTCTCCCTCACATGTACATATCTTCCCTTCCAATCACTTTCTCACCAGCATAAATTAATACATCACTTGTGTTAAAAAAATGAAGATATCATCTTCCTTTGGCACTTGTCATCCACTAAACCAATCATGTTGCAATGTTTAGGCCAAACTGCTGACTGTCACAAGTGCCAAGTTCCATAAACCACATGCACCTACCATCCCCCTGTATAGGTTAAACTCACCAATTTGTCCTACAAATTCAATTCTAATTCCTTGGTGCTCTAGTCTCTTCACATGCTGCTTAAAGGAGACGTTCACCTACCAAGGGAAAACAAAAAGTTAAAATTTTTTCAACACATTCACTCTAACACATGATCTCAGAAAAAGCAAAACATATTACTACACGCCCGTGAAAACTGAGACCTCTTCTCAACAACGCTACTTGAGCTTGAAGGCAACCAAATCAAACAGCTGACTATGAAATTAAGCATTACCAAGGCAACGTTAAAGCATTTAAGAAAAATATAACCACCCATAAGACCAAATTTAATAACTAAGCTTGAAACTTTCAAGTCCCAAAATTAAGAATCCAAGCCAGAGCTTAAGCAGAGTTCACATAAGCCAGTCATGAGACCCTCTTGCCATCTTTGAAGACAGAGAGCTTCAAAGCACCTTCTGACAGTCACATCTGGAAGTCCAAAAAAAGAACTGCTGTGAGAAGCATTCCTTTGAAGTCAAGTGAACTTAAGTCCCTTCCTCAGCAGACAGCTAAGTATTGGTGTTAGAGAAGTCAATGAAAAATAACAGATAACGAAGCCTGCTGTCAAGATCTTCATCTGTGAATGCGATCCTCACAAACAGACCTCACATCACAAGAGAAGATCTCATAACATTACTTTATATGGAAACATGCAAATATTAAGCATATATAATGTTTGCTTACAAGATAGTGATGACGACATTAATTCCTGTACTGCAAAATCCAGTACGTTGTCAGTATCTGCGCAGGAAGTAAACCACTTGAATAATCTTTGTGGTGAAAAGGAGGGGAGAAGTAGAGGGAAGTTGTCCAGTAAATTACTGGTCTTCCACACCTCCTCATCCCACTGTGCTCGTGTTAGCCAAAACTCATCAGGCACTTCTCAGGCGTCGCTGATACAAGTGAGAGGCGCTCAGGCCAATGAACACACAAAAGCTAGTTCCCTCAGCTTCCTGAGTTTGAGGCCCATCTTGTGAGAGTTTCACACCCCTGAAAGGATCTTTCTAGAGAACCAAGATCTTAGCATGGAAAGATATCTTAAAAGCAGGAAGATGCCTAGTGGCAACAGGTCAGTCTAGATCAAAGTAGAGTAGTTATTTAGAAGTCAACCTCAGTACCCAATACCTGAATCGAGTTTTTTGGAGGAAAAGTGAATCGTAACAAATATCGGTTGAGTGAGAATAGCTCCAGTAAAACCAGAGCAGTGGTGAGGAGTTCTTAAGTGCAGTACTGCAAGTAGAGAAATCCCTCTGCCAATATCTTTTTTTTTTTAGTTTTTCCCAACAAGAAAAACTCTTGTTGACTCAGCAGCCAGCTGAACTTCATATGTTGCTTCTCTGATGCAATTCCAGAAACAACCTCAGGGCATGAAATGCAAAACTTAGCTTCAGGGTATGCAAAGCAGATTGGCTGCGCCAGCCAAAAATTACTATTACACATGTTGGATTGTGGATATTGGAGTTCAAGGGGAAGGGGAAGCAGGGGGATCCAGGTTGGAATAGTTTTCTTGTCAGAAGCAACAACAGGATTGCACAAAAAGCTCATTCATAAATACAAGATGATTAGAAATAAACAGCTGCTATCCAAAACGTTCAGTTTTATCAGTTGCCTGAATGACTATGGTTAAAAAAACAATATAGGAAAACACTGTTTCCTCTTTGAATAACAACATGAGCTGAAATTGCAGCTCTTGCTTATATCATTTTTTCATTTACCTTCCTATACTTGCATGCCAGAATAGGTACAGTAATTAATAGTCACTTTCAAAAAAAATAAAAATTTACCTTTCCTGAAACAGATTCTCCATCATAGAAGAGAAAATGCTTTTCTACTTTACCATCTTCTGTTTTGATTTCTGCTGTTTTTCGTGTTTCAGCATCATTAAGAATAACATCAATCTCACAAACACGACCGAAAATGCCTCCAAGAAAACTCTGAAATAATAAGAATTAGATAAGTTACCACACAGTGGACATTCCATTTTAAATGTGGTATTTACTTACAGCTGTACATTATACAATGGGGAGAAACATTTATGCTCCCATGAAGTTACAAAGCCATTATGTACTAGAGACCCAAGAAACAGTGATGACAAGAGATGGTTGTTCATCTAACAAATAATTGAAATCAGGCCAGTAACAAGCTCTTACAAAATATAATGTTTATAAAAAGTACACAGCATAATTATCATTATCACTATTACACTAAAACACTAACAAATATTTAAGACATTACTGTTGCAAACACAGCTTTGATTTCTGTAACTGCAAAGTTTCCAATCACTCATTTCACTTTAAAAAAAAAATAATCATTTTAAAATCACACTTTAAAAAAATCTTTTTTTAACAAGTTTATTCCATCTGGTTTAGGATTTGAGATATACCAAAAAACCTACGTATTGCTTTATACTCACTATACCTTACTGCATTAACAAGTATGATCAGAAGTAAGAGGAATAACAGAGCAAAGTAGGGTGAAAAGAAACAACGGGGGATATAATAGAAGGCCTACAGCACCCCACTGGCTGGTGAAGGGGAAGAGAGACCTTTACTTGCTGCCTCTTCCTACACCCCATAGTTCTCTTAGCAAATGAAGAGAGCACTGGCAGGCTCAAGAGGCAGGGGTTCTTCACACAGTCTACCTTAGCTACACAACTCCATCTTAGCCACCCGACAGAGGGGATGTTACAAGTTTACCCGTAGTACTGCTCCAGGCACCAAGCCATTATGAGCATCAAATGTTTGTCCTCACCTTAAAATAGCATTCCCAAAGCATGAACTTTTGACCATCACCAAACACAAGAAACTAGGAGGGATCATCTTTTGACCTTGCACAAACATTTCTTACAAAAAATTGCAAAACACGTTAGTGATTCTATGGGAAACTCAACAAGATTAGTACCAAAGCCAGCATTTTTTCTGAAGAATTAGGCACTAATCTGCCTCGATGTACTAAAGCAGACACTTCAGTAATTCAGTGTGCTTCTTGGGTTTTTTTGGAGAAATTACACTATGTTCTCAATGAAAGCATCCACTTCAGCTAGATGAATTTGGTATACATGAAGTAGTCATTCTCACTACACCAGTATAAAAAATTGAGTAAGAATACATTTCAAGACATTGTGGGGACCTGAAGTTTGAAACATGCCATTAACAGCAAAAACTCTAAAAGAAAGTTTGATCTGAATGCTGCTGCTAGGAATGCTGAGTGACTTTTTGCTTACCCCTACAAGTCAAGCAAAGACATGGTGCAAGCTTGAGCTATAAAACAGCAATTCACACAAGACTAAACTGACTTTATATTTGTTCAGATAGGAAGTGTCCCTAGTCCAATCCACAAAGATGTATATAACTAACTGAAACCTAGTTAGATCTACTTCATGTTCTCAGAGGAAAGGAGAAGCAGCTGACCAGCACGGCAGTCATATATAAGTCCAAACTGTCTTCCAAGTCTCTGACAAGCACGTATTCACATTACCTGCTGAAACAATTTTTAAAATTTTTTATTTTTTTACAACTGCACACTAGAACCATTCTTGATTTTTGGCTCCTGGGGAAGGGCAAGAAAGAGAGAAAAAAGTTTCAGCAAGAATTCAAAATCTTTAAACTATTTTAAACTGTCACACAAGTTATTGTTGAGCATGCCATATTTTTCCCTTAGAAACTGTAATTGTTTTCCAAAGTAGCCTTATACTTTCCACCGCATCTAAACAAGGAAGAACATCACCTTTAAGTAAACATTATACCAGATGCTCTCACAGTATCTTCCAAATTATGAAGCTGTACCATCATTTAAAACAGTCAGCCAGACCTAACATTGGTAACACATCACTTATCAATACACTGTCTATGAATATTTCAATTGTACCCCTTAGAGATTAGCCATGACCTTATCCAGAGAGGACAAGAACATATGGAATAAAGAAATCAACGGCTAGTATCTCCTCCAGTTGCTGTTGAAGATACTGCTGCAGGGAAACTGTGCAAAACAAGAAGTATTTTAAGAAGCCATCATACGGCTGATTATGTTGCAGCTTAAGAAGTTGAAGAGAGAGAGAACCAAAGTTTTCAGAAGCTGGCTGTATTCTTGATTTCATGCAAAAGACAAACGCCGAAGATTTTGCTACATCAGGACTGAAATCAATCATCATTCAGTCCTTATGTGTTATAGCTGTACTAAAGCACTCTTACGACTCCCAGGGGCTGAGAAATAGTGCAGAAATCCCAGCCTCAGCTTCACACAGAGCTCTAAAAACCTTCTACATATCCAACAGAGACACATGTTAAGGATGCTTCAGAAATCCAAAGTGCATTGATCTAGCCGATTCTTTAATTTTTTTTTTTTTTTAATCTACACATCACAGTACACCAAGCACTTCCTTTGCCCAGGCCAAGCCTGCTAAGCACAAAGTGGCCGCTATTTCACCAGCCCTGAGGGATTACTACCAACTGCTGGCATTTTAAGCGCTGCCGTACAGAACTGCTGAAAGATTTACCGATGTCTCCAGGACTATCACATGCACTTTCCCCACAGCCCCCCCGACAGCAGCCGCGTAGGAAAAATGGAAGTCGAGTTTCACGACTAAACCCCGTATTGGCGAGGACACGCGTGCACGGAAGAGCAGCGGAGGGGGGCGGGCACACCCCAAGCCTTAACCCCTCAGTTATGTTAAAAAGACCCCAAACCTTCGGTTTCGCCAGGGACCCCGCCCTGCGGGGAGCGGCGGCCGCCAGGCCTGAGCCTGACGCAGGCCGGGGGAGGGGGCGGCCAGGCCGACGGCTGGGTGAGCGGGGGAGTGTCACCGGGCCGGGACGAGAGCGAGGGGAGGGACAACCGGCGGCGCCGGAGAACAAACCGCGCCCGGAGGGGCGGCTCTCTCCTCACGCACAGCCCGGAGCCACAGGTGGGGAGGGAGGGAGGGAGGGAGGAAAGAAGGAGGGAGGGAAGCACAGCCCAGCCCAGGCCGCCACCGCCTCAGGCGGCGGGCGGGCGCGGAGCGGCCGTTGGCGGGTAACGGCGGGTAACGGCCGGTAACGGCGGGTAACGGCGGTTAACGGCTGCCGCCACCCACACCCACCCGCCCGCCCCCCCCCACCCTCCACTCACCATGGCGCGTGACCCCGCCGCGGCCGGCTTCTGCCCCGCGCGCCACCAGCACCAGCCGCCCCGGCCCGCGCCCCTGTCATGTGACCTCACAGCCCGCCACGCCACGCCCCCACCCCCGCCGCACGTGACCGCCCCCCCCCACACACCCCCCCGACTCTTCCGCCTTCCCGCCGCCGCCACTGCCCGCTCCGTGCCCGCCGGGGGGGGGGGGGGGGGCGGTGCGGCGAGGAGGGAGCGGCGCATGCGCGTCGACACTCTGGCGCGACGGCGCCGCCTAGCGGCCGGGAGGCAGCAACGCCGTGGTGTCGCTGACCGGAAATTACCGTTAGTGCCCCCACATTTTTGCAAGATTTTTTTTTTTTATTATTATTATTATTATTATTACTTTTTTTTTTTTTTGTTCTTTTGGAGGAAACGCGAGCTAATCCGCTCGGGCGGGTTTTACGTGGTCAGCTGAGCGCAGACGGCTCCCCCCACGCAAAGATTTTTAATTTCTTACCGCTGGAGCACAGTAACACCCACGCAGATCAGGCAGGGCTCCCCCCAAACCTGTTTTCCCCCGATTGGGATGGCTCCCCCCACCCACAAAAAAACAAGAGCGAGTTCAAGACCAAACAAAGACCCTTTTTCGGGAGTGAAAACAGTAAAGATCTTAAGGCGAAGTTTTTTATTGGTTCGGAGTCGGCTTAAAACTGCTCCGTGGCCGCTGCATCAGGTCAGGCGCTGGGCGAGGGGCGCGGGGGGTGAGGGCAGCCACCGCCGGCACGAGGAGGCCGACGTCCACAGCCCTATAAGAGTAAATCCTCCTCCGTTAGCTTTTGCTTCAGCTCACCGCCTCGAGGGCCCGCTAGGAAGACAGGCAGCTTCGCCTCGGAGAAGCTGTCACCGTCACCGAGCCCCGACCCGGAGGCTGGCTCCGCTTCCACCGCGGCATCGGAACCGGAGCCGGACTCCTCATCCGAGAGAGGGAATATGTCTTCCAGGTCCTGGTATCGCTTCATCCTGAAACGCAGAGCGGCAGCTAGTTTATTCCAAATTTTATTTTATTGCCTCTTAAGTGAACGCGCCGGGGCCTCACATTCCCATGGGCGAGCCACGCCGTGACAGGACTGTTGAGACAGGGCTACCGGATGTTTTTTGGGTGCTAGCATTAGCGACAAAGGTGCGGCAAATGAACTTACAGGGACGGGTCTGCCATGGGAGGAAGGATCCTGTTGGCTCCACCGGTGGGCATGTAAAACCAGGGCCCCTGCTCTTCGATGCAGTTAGCTGACCAGGCGTCAGGTCGGCACCTCACTCTCTTGTACCTTGCCTTCTGCAACGGAGCACCTGATCGAATCAGCCGTGTGTTATTCACCAGGACCTATTAACTTTACGAGCACCTAGTAAAGCTTAAAGGAGTTGAAGGAAGTAATTTGTGTGGCCCTGATTACTCCAACTCCCGAAAACCAAATTAACTCTGAAGACTATTTTTAAATGTCTACTGATATCCCAGAGTGATATATATCTTTGCTATCAGAGACATCAGGTGCGTCGTGTCCACGGCACCGGGAAGTCCACGGGAATTAGAAATGGAAACCCCGTGGGAACCCACTGCTTCACACCAACGTCACAGCAGGGCTCAGCTCCACCACCGGCAGCTGTCCCCAAAGCTGGTGGAGATATCATAAAACCTCCCTGGGGACAAGTCACCCCAGCGGAGAGCTGGCTCCTGCGCCCCTCCCTTTCTCAGTTTGGCACCAGGGAGTCTCAGAGCCGACTCTGCTTTCATTTTGCATGCCTCAGTTCAGCCCCTTCGAGTTCAGTGGGATCAGTTTTGGTGAGGAGGTCGGAAACACAAGGTGTGCCAAGAGATGCCTGCCGCAGGAGCAGATTTGGCGATTACGTATGCTCTCGGAGCACATCGCTGGCAGAGAGAGACTGCTCAGCCTAGGCACGACTCGGGGTTATGTAAACCCACGGTTTCAGTTCTGGTGCCTCCCAGGTGCTTGGTCGGGGCTGTCGCTAAGAAGCAGGTCTTCAAAAAATAACAAAAGGAGAAAATAACAATTGCATAGTAAAGATAAAAACAGCAGCATTTCATCCTTCCTCTTGGTCTCATGTAATTAATTTGTTCTGAAGCCTCCTGGCACATGCTCCCTCTGTTGGCGCTTTATTTTTTCTCAGTTTCTTGGGAATATCTTTCTGTAATTACACTTCTCTATTGCCCTATATATTTCCCTAATGTACTAGATGACTTTCAGCTACCTCCTACACTCTTCTGTAAGAGAAAAAAGATCTCACAGGTATCATTTCCTGCTTCTTTTAAAGTGTATTCCTTTTTTGTACTTAATTTCTTAGCATATTATTAAGAAGGTTTTTAATAATAACAGCAGCAACAAAATAAACAACTGCAGCTGAACAGCTTGCAAATAAACAGCGTACAAAAATCAGGCCCTAATCCCTCAAAGATCAGCCTCCGAGTGGTAGATACATAATGAAAGCCTATCACTATCACAGCCTTGGTTCGGGGACAGATTATACTCTACATGCTTGAAAAGTACTTCCCTCTCGTAAGAAACAAATCCACGGAGTACATGTCATAGTGAATCAACATTTCCTTTTAGTTGTTTTAGTGCTGTGTCTTGCAATATTGTACCAAAGAAACCGTTTAATTTCCTCATACTTACAACTAGTTTCCTTTCCTGCCACTCCAGGAAAGTAGACCATAGTAGTTATGACATGGGAACTGTTACATACTTTGTCTGTAACTACAGAACTGAATCACGGTAGTAACCAGACTACTATGAAAGGGCCAGTTAAAAAAAAATAGATATATTGAAATATATGGATTGAAAATATACACACATACAGCAACATATTTTACGAAGCCTTTTTCTCATAGGGGCTGGGAAAGGGACACAGAAATACTCCACTTGCAAAAAGCTCCTTTTCTTACCATTCCCCCTTCAGAAAATGAAATGTTAGCAAAGCAGGTTTTCTGAGTAGATCTCATTACCCCCAGAAGAAGGTCAGTTTGAAAAATTTGGAGGCTGCCTACTTGGCCTACACTGCATAGCCCAGAAAGAGGATTACCGAAAGAACAACCGCCCCGTTTTACCTTGTGCTGTGTATCCCACAAAGAGGATTAAACAAATAGCCAGGAAAATCCTCCTGTTACATCTGATAAGGAGCTGCATTTTGGCCGGCATCCGCTTGCTCACCACCAGCCTTCACCACGGCTTCACACTTCAGAAATACAATGGGGTGAGGAGATCGACTTTTAGAAAAAGCTTCCAAAACCTCAAACCCAACCCATAACCTGCGTCACCGCTTCCTGATTGACGGGAGTGAGACATGTAGAAAAAAGCCCAGCGCTCTGGCCTCTCAGTCTTCATCACTCAAAAAAAAAAAACAAAACAAACAAACAAACAAAAAAAATATCCTCACTGCCTTCATCTCCAGTTTTGCCTGAGGATAAAAGCAAACCTGGGAACAACCACCCTGACTGAAGGTGTGTGCTGCTGACAGCTTTTGTGGTCCAGGCACGCATCCTGCCCAGCGCCTGCCCGATGCTCAGAGGACTCCAGGGCATTTGCTGTTTCCTCCGGAGGGAAAAAACGGTGCTTCACGTCCCCTGACTTTCAGTCAACTGCATTTTTGCATTGGCACTGGCGGTGGTTTTCCCTGCCTCGAGCCCATGTCAGTCCACCACAAGGGTCAGGAGCCAGCTGCTTGCAGTCACTGCAAGTTTCACTGACTGGAAAATAATCTTTTTCCACAAAAGTAAATTATCTGTGGAATCTCATGCCAGGTTTGGGGTGCTTTTTGAAAGAAAGATCTTCAATATTTACAGCAGAAGTGGGAAAAATGTATTAATTTAGAGAATATATTCTGGTAGAAAGGTTGGCACCTTTCCGAAAGGGCACAGAGGATTTACTCGGCCAGATCGTCGCTGTGTGGTGCGAGTGGCCCCAGGGAGCATGGCAAAGAGTTTCGAAAGCATGTGGAAAAGCTGTCTGGAAAGCCATGGAAGCCTCTTCGTAGATAGGTACATGGAAGCTGCCTTTCAGCTAGCTCATACCTTTTGTTTGCCTTTTAGATGTGATGAAGCCAGGCTTGACTTCACTCAAGAATAAATTACAAACAACAAGATTATCTAAGCAGTGGGGGTTTTTCTTAGTCATACCATCAGCTGCTGGATTAACTGGGGTACTGACGTGTGAGCCTAACATGCTGCCAGCACCTTCGATGATGCTGTGGCTGATAGTGTAAGTTGTCTGTAGCAAATATATTTTTAGGAGGTGGAAAGTCCACGGAGGCCCCCAGTGGGGATCTCAGCTGAGCGGTGACTTTCCCCGGGGCACGGCACTCCACCAAAATCCCACAAGTGGTGGAGGAGACCCCTCCAGTGGCTCCCCTCTCCAGGCTGGCATTTACCACCAGACTGAGGGGATCGAGCTACACGTTCAACATCGATGCGATTTGTTATGAACCTCTGCACATGGGGTCTTTTTCTGGCACAGGAAAAAGAGGGGACTCAACTAGGCAGGTGTGGAAGGACTTGCGTGCAGCAGTTATTCCTACCAACCTCATTTCTACTTCGTATTTTTAGCATCAACTCTTTTTTTCTTCTTCTTTTTTTACAGTGGTGCTCAGCATCAATAGGAAGCCAACGCGTGCAGGGAGGCAATCAGCCTCCACCCGCAGAAGGCTGCGGAAACAGTTCCTGCAATAACACCTCTCATTTTCCGCTGGTCATGGGCACGTGCTGACCCCTTCCGCACCCCTCCAGTGTGTGCAAACAACTCCCCGGGGGGGAAAGCACCCTTCCACCAGCTATTTCTGCCCTTCCCACCAGCCCCAGGCTTTTTCCACCCTGGCACTGGAAGCCCTGGGGGACGCGACCAAAGGGGTGCTCACCAGCGGGCAGGGGATCCGGCAGGAGAGGGGGGAGCTGCCGGGGGTAGGTGGGAGCTGCAACCCCCCTGGTATCTGGAGGGGGATCTCGCAGAGCTGAGTTATCTCGCTCATACCATCAGCCGATGGGGGAACTTGTAGCGCTGGCAGTTTTGCCACACGGTTTTGTTATTTTCTTCTGTGTCAGCGGCGCGCCTCAGGAAATGAGATTGCTTGACAATTGGTAACCATGGGAAGACTGAAGCAAATTTTCCGCTCTCCCGTCTCACGTACACCTGCGTAATGGGGGCCAGAAGCCTGCGGGGAGCATCAGCCCGGGCCCATCTCCTCCTGTCCTGCTGCGCTCCACCGGTGCCCGCACCCCACTGCCCTTGGTGAGCAAAGAGCTTCCCACCTTCCTACGAATGTGGAAGTGATACTGGAGACCCAGATCTGAAGCAATCTGGGATGTGCAATTCTTAAGAGTAAAGCATGCCCTTTGTGGAGTGTCATGGGATGCCCGAAGAACGCTGTGCAATTATTTACCTCTCTGTAAACCACTCAGGACATAAAATGTAAACAATCAGCGCAACTTAAGAAATCTCATCTTGAGCTAGAGGCCACAACCTTCTGAAAGTTCACATACTTTTTTTTCTTTTAAACAGAAAACAACCCATGAGCTGTACTAACCTTGAAAGGTGACATTGCATGACTATCAGTTTAAGAGAAAGGTTTCTCGAGTCAAATGTGTTAAATCCACAGAGGACAGTCACCATACCTAGGTTAGCTACCTCAGATCTACCTCCTGTAAACTGCAAGGAAGATTCATAGGGTAATACTTCTCTTGCATAGATCCTGTGTATACAGACTAGAAGATTAACCGCCCCAACAGAATAAGCCTATAAAAAGAAGAGAATACACGAGAGGCAGGTATTTGAGAACACAGCTCACTCCTGGAGCGTTACTTACAACTACCGCACTGAAGTGCTGCCATTATTTTCAAATCGCACGCAAAGCAGATTAAGAGCTTTGCAGTTTTCTAAGGCATTAATTTGGGGAGCAAGGGGCAGGCGGAGGGAGGGGGGTGCCTCAGCACTGTGCGCCTGGCCCTTCAACCAGATACCCAGGACTCTTTGTTACGTGCCTGAAAAATCCGAGAGTATCCCCTAGGGTGTAATAAACACTTCAAAATCTAACATGATGAACCGCTCCTTAGTCGGAACTCTCAGGGCTGTTTTATCCCCCAGTTGGCTTCAGGAGTAAGGAGTGACTTAGTACCGTCACTAAACGGGGACCACACCGCTGGAGTGCCTGGTGCGAGGACATCCATCCTGCTGTCGAAGGCAGGAGATGTAGGGCAAAAAAAAATGCCCAGTGGGCGCATTTCAGTAACCTGGCGGGGCATCTCACGGCGGTGTTTTGACCAGCTCCTTGGTGGACACCAACTCTTGCCCTGCCCTATCCCAGATAGACGCTGCCGGAGGAGCGGTCGGTGCGATGTAGCTGCATCAGGCCACTCTCTCTGCTGCTTTTCCTCACCGGGCAGCACAGGTTTTGGTGGGGATCCAGGCTGACCCCTGCACCCCCCCAACGCTCCTCCCTACCGGAGGAGCAGAGGTGGCAGATGGCTGGATCAGCTGGGGGGTCCCAAAGCGCTGGGCCCTGCCCGTGATGCTCAGCTCTTTATTTGTGCCACTGGGAAAGCGGAAACGGGTATTTTGTACAGGTCACTGCTCTGGTGAGCAGCCAGTACAGAAAAGGCCGCATCTGTTACAAGCAGAGCTGGAAAAGGGGGTAAAGAGAGAATAATGGCAACAGGAAGAAAAATCGAGGTCAGACTGAGCAAAGGGAAGAGAACAGCAGCTGGGTTGAACACAGGGAGCATTTTTTTCTCTGGTTTTATCTTTTGGGAAGGCAGGGCAGGTTTCTTCCCCAACACTTGCTGCGGAGGTGGGACGAGATCCATCAGACCTGGACATCCAATGGGCCCCGAGTACATTGATCCATCTCAGAAAGTATCCATGAGCTGCCCTGCTAAACACCTCAAAAATCACCCTGACTCCCCTGAGCAGCGAGCTCCCCTCCAGGCAGGCAGCCCAGCCAGATTTAAGGATGCTTTCTGCCACCAGCTCATGTTCAACCAACCAACCCCTAGGGACTGAAAGCAAAAATATGTCCTGCCTCAAAATACCAAAGAGCTGGCAATGCAGGGAGGGAGGTTTGGGTCGACCCAGGAGGATTTCTAAATCCAGCCCCTGAGCAAAGATGAATTCTTAACCTGGGTCACATCTGAGCTCAGTGCCTGGCCCCTGTGTTCGCCCGCGTACCCGGAGCATCGTGGCACACGCAGCAGGGCAGTACGTGTCATCCCGCGGCCTCTCATGCCGCCACCTCTTGCCTCTACGGGCAGTATCAGGACCTGGCCCGTGAAGATAAGATTCAGATCTTGAATGAAATTATTAACACTCACATGCATCGTGTAGAAATCAGGCATTCGTTGCCATCTAGATCGCACAGAAGAGCAACTCCTTTTTTTTTTTTTTTTTTTTTTCTTCCCATGATGAAGGTCAACAAGTGCACAGGGAGAGATCTTTGCTGGAAAGCCGCAGCTGCATCAAGATCGAATGCAGCCGCTGACTGACAGGAAGCTGCCAACGGCCTTTCCCCATCAGCGACCTCCCCTCTGCCAAAAACATTAACGGAGCAATGAGCCTGTCCTTCAGTAAGAAAAAAGCAGCTCTCCTTTGTGCTGGGAGTGAGATGGTTTCTGCTTCCACACACTGAAGCCCGGCACACCGGTAGGTTTTGGCTGGCGAATTCAGGACTATAGTTTAAAAGCAACAACTTGTTAAGACACGACACAGCAGCCGAGCCCCGGGTTCGGATTAGGGAGGCAATTTCAGTAGCCATCCTTCCTTCCTTAAAACCTCATCCCAGAGCAGCGCCAGCCCCACAATGGAAGCGCCCAGTCCTTGCTGGGAGCACGACCTGCGCAGCGGAGCAAGGGGGAAGGGAGTCCCCTTCCCGCAGCTGCTCACTGGGAAGTGCCCCTTATTTTTCTATAAAACGGTTTCTCCAGCACAGGACAACCTCACGCGACTGAGTTGCTCAGCAGCTTTTTAGATCCTTTTTTAACAACCCTGGGCTCTTCCCCCATAGATCCACCCCAAGCAGCTCACGTTGCCTCCACTCGCTGTGGGGGTGCAGACCTATTTCTAAGCACAAGCACTGCCAGTGCCACATAAAATCTTCACCCCATGTGCGGGGAGAAAGGACATCAGTAATTTGGGGAAGATGAAAAGGGATGGGAAGCATGGTCACTCCTGTGGAGGTCTCACCATGAACCAGATCTGCTTCTCCCATCCCATGTGTAAAGTGGAGCAGAGCTGGTGTTCGGGCCCTAGTGAGTTAGTAGCTAACCAACCCTT